GATAATTATCCCGTTATCTCGGGAAAATGGCGTTTAAAAAAATGTGCGGCCATGACCGCTCTCGGCTTCCGTACAATTGGGACCAACTTTGTGATTAAATCATGATGTATGTAAAGCATGTGACTGAAACATCACTGGACCTCCTGCAGATGAAAATATCGTCAGAAAAAACACCAGGTCTGAGGAAGTCAGGAAGTTCCCTCACAGTAAAATGACCCAGAAGTATGTGAGTGACAGCATCATAAGAGCTGCTCAGATTCTCTGAACGTTGAGGAAACGCTGCCTTTCTTAACTGTATGGATTCTTGTAGCACCACAGTTATCTTGTCATCCTTAATTCTCCTTCACATCTTTCCTTGACCTCATGATGTTTTCCATAGAGGTCAAGAAAATGTATTTATGAGAAGAGACATGACATTTTTTCTTTTCTATTTTGCTTTATTGGCACTCTTTTAATGATGTCACCCTTTTGTGCTCTCTGGACGATTGATGCTCAAAAAATATCCACTTCAACATCGGTGGATGGAAACGCACATGAATCGGATTTTCTTTTGTGATTTTTATTTTTTGGTTAAAACATTTGGATGGGCTCCTGACTAACTCCTCTACATTGCACGCCCACCATCTGCAGCCCGCTCGTGTGCCTTACATAAATGTACCAACTCCAGGAAAAACATGCCCTTCAAAGCATGTTTCTTTATAAAAATATCACCGGGAAAGCACAGTAGTAGTACATCAACATACGTAAACAGGAGGGCGTCCCGGTACAAGAGAATCCAGGTTTAAACGGAGCCTTCGCCTTGTCGGGATGACTCAGAATCTTGAAAATGAATGAAAACTTTTTTTCTGCCTTCCTTCCGTCTATCTCCAGTGTTTCTAGGTGTCTGTAGGTACAGAGAGCTCTCTTTTTTTTACTGCACACGTATCTACATTTAGTTTTTGTTTCAGCCTGTGTGGGAGCGCTCTCCTGTTTGACGCCGATTGTTGACACTGATAGAAAATGTTATCTTCCGGGACAGACTGTGGGTTACTGCAAACTGGCTCCAATGACAGACGCATCTGAAATAACAGCGACAGGAATCAGGAGAGGAGGAGAAGATGAGTAATGGCGGCGTGGAAGGGTGATTCTATTTCCTGGCAATCGGAATTGGCTTCTCATAAAACTGATTGGATTTTTTGCATGCAGAGCGTCTGCAGTGTGAGCCCACGTACAATATGCACAAGCATCACACACATACCATAGACGGGAGAGATCCTATCTGAACAGGACTGACCATGACGGGCTCTATTGTATTTAGGAACATAAAGTTTAGTTGCGTCTTTAGGAAGATACTGATGAATCTGTGGGTTGATGATGCAGCAGTGGTCAGTTTTACAGTGGATGAAAATGCCCCATTTTTTTGACTTTACAGTAAAATTTGGTCCAAGTGAGTGTTGGAGGACATTTCTCGTATGCTGGCTGCAGCATCCTGCGTTGTATAATTACAATCAATCAATCAATCAATGTCCTTTATTTAACCAGGTAAAAAAAAAAAACCCATTGAGATTTAAAACCTCTTTTTCAAGAGTGACCTGGCTCAGAGGGCAGCGCAACACGGATTACAGCAAACACACAAAACCCAAATAAAATAGAGTTTACACACTACAGAAAAACAAGAGTGGGATTACATGATTACACAGTTCAGTCGCAAGATCCAGTTTTGCTTATTTCTCTGTAATCGTCTTAAATTTCCTCAGAGATACAAGATGTGTCAATTTCAAATCCTTTTGCACATCGTTCCAGGAAGACGGGGCAGAAAATGTAAAAGCCTTTTTGCCCAGTTCGGTTCTGACTCTCTCGACCTGCGACTGTATGATGTCCTGAGAGGTTTCTGCACATGTGTGAACGCAAATATGGAGGCAGAAGTCCAAGAATAGATTTGTAAATGAAAGTCAGCCAGTGAGAGAGTCTGTGAACATACAAAGATGGACAATGTGTGGCAGCGTATAAGGAGCAGTGATGTACATGATAGCTGCAACCAGTAACAAAAGGCAAAGAACAGTGGTAAACAGAATCCAATTTCTTTACAAACTGATCAGGAGTGTTCATCAAAAGCACGTCTCCGTAGTCCAACAAGGGTAAAAAAAAAAAGTTGTGGTGATGAAATGTTTTCTGACTCGCTCACTTTGGGAGCGTTCAGCAGAGAGGGAGGCAGGAGGCAACAAAACACAAGTCGAGTCCAAGGTGCGAACAAAAGGTTCAGAAAACTAAGCACAAAGCAACAGATGGGAAGAACACAGCTGATCTGACAACTGAAAAAAAGAGACGATGCCGGACCAGAAATACACAAAGGACTGATTGACTAATGACGCACAGGTTGCACAAAAAAAACTGGTGGGAAAAGCTCAAAGGCAGGAAGTGAAGCGACGGCGTCCACAGGAAACAACTTCAGCCGAAACCCCAAACTATGACAGACTGGCAGACGTCCAGCTGTGATTATGTTATTTATCATGTTTTAGGGGCCAAAGCAAACTTAACTCATGACATATTCACTTAACTCGTTTTAAATTGGTAGCGTAAGGAATTCAACCTTCTGAACCTGAAAACCTACCAGCTGGTTACAAAGGCTGCTGTTTTCTAAAGAAATCACCAAAATGACATCATTTATGACACAAGAAACAAACAAACAAACAAAGAGATAAATCTTCAAGTTTCAAACGAAGCTTAAAATAGTGATATTTCCTAATTAGTGACTCAGCTTCCTCGCTTTTTGGCTGAACTGCAGACTGTGTTTATACACAGACACCATTTCGTTCCAGTGCTGGTCACACCTGTGGACACTTGGAAAAATGTTCTACTTGTTGATTCCAGTTATTTTTCAGTTTTATTAAACAAATAATCAAAAATTGAACTTTCGGGGCGCCCCTGTAGCTCACCTGGTTGAGCGGGCGACCCATAATAATAATAATATTAATAATAATAATAATAATAATAATGATAATGATGATAATAATAATAATGGTAGTAATAATAATAATAATTCATTTTATTTGTATCGCGCTTTTCAAGAACTCAAAGACGCTTCACAGGATAAAAGCAAAAAAGCAATAAAAGCAATAAACAATAAGCAACAAATACAAAGGTAGACAATATAGAAATACTCATGAACAGGGGCTGTAGTTCTCCGGCGCGGGGTTCGTGAGTTCGATTCCCGCTCATGACAGTTTGCTGCAGGGTCTCCCCCCTTTGCTGTCTCACTCTCTTACTGTCCTAATAAACATCGCTCAGCAGACAAAGTTCGCTCTAATTTCTAATTCCGACAACGGTTGGGCTGTTTCTCCAGAACTCGACTTTGCGAGTTTGTGTCTTGAAATGGTAAAAAGCTGTAACGCTTATTCTGTGGAAGCGCTGGTGATTTTTCTTGGAACAGCCTCTTTGGGAAACAGGTTTCACTGACAGTGGTGGAGTTCACCACTAAGTACACAGTGAGTTTGCAGGAAATGATCCAGCACATCGCTCTGTGTTTGTAATTTCATCTCATCAGCCTCTTCACTTCCTCTACGAACGAGCTAAGTTTGACCGCGGCTCCATTTTGGATATTGAGTTCAGGGTTTAAAATACCTGCCGTCTTTATTTTAAAAAATAAGCTGTTCTGTGAACTGAACACTGAACTCTTCTGTTTTATGTCTGAGAAAATCAAATGTGCTGAAACAAACCTTTTGCTACCATCTGTAACCACAGAAACTTAAATCTTTAGTTTGGAACTCACGACTCTCCAGAATTCATCCCATGTAATATAATGTGATATTTATGACGTGGTCTGTTGTTTGATGTCTTTATATTAAATACTCAGTGAGCTTTTGAATTACCCCTGGAGGATGAATAAAGTTATCTGAATTGAATTGAATCATCAAGGATTATAACTTTAGGCAGCTCCTGCGGTTCCTCTCGTACTGGGCAGGATTACTATTGCAACAACTCATCATCAGTAGGGTAAAACTAACCTGTCTCATGACGGTCTAAACCCAGCTCACGTTCCCTATTAGTGGGTGAACAATCCAATGATAGGAAGAGCCGACATCGAAGGATCACAAAGCGACGTCGCTATGAATGCTTTTCTGACAGCTCCTGCTTAAAACCCCAAAAAGTCTGAAGGATCGTCTATAATTTCTACCTTTTTTTTAAATGTAATATTCCATGTACATGATGGGTGTTAGTACATTAATTTTAGTTTAATCCAATCACCACTAAACTAGCTGAAATCCACCTCAGCCGTGTAATTGGACGAGCACATGTTGCACACAGACTGAGCAGAGCGGCGGTCAATACAGAACCACAGCTTTATTTTCGCCCTGGAGCTCAATCCAGTTCTGCTGTCAACGCTCGGTAAAGGTTACCTGATTCAACCTTTATGCTTTGAGTATAACATTTTCTGATTTCATCTCCGAGCACACGCCGCTGCACACAAGTCTTGTTTACTTGCCGGTCCACAGATTAGAGCGATGAAGACTTCACGGAGGACCTCGGTGGTGCAGCGAGGGAACAATACCTTAAATCACACTTGAACCGTCTTATCCTCCACCTCCCACTAAACGTCGTCGCTGCTGCTGTGGCACTCTTTGCTGCCTTTGATCAGCACCACACACACACAGAACCTCGTCAGCATGACATTGATTTTCAACCGGTTCATTTTGATTGTGTGTGTGTCGTTGTGTTTTGCACAGTTACTGCCGTGTTTCGTCGAAAAAGCAAAATACAGTCGTCCTTGATTTCGAGTTTGGTGAAATAAATGGTGCGCCAACCTACGCAGGCAGAATGCAGCGTTTGTAAAGGAAGCCATCCACCAGAGCTCCAATTGTTCGTGCCTTTATAAAGACGCGAGCTTTTCAACCGAAAGCTGCAGGAATTCTGATCGTCGCTGGACGATTTTTAACCGTCTGATGACTGTGTGCCTAAGAGATGCTTCATTTCCCCACGTTAACCACCCTCCCACAAGTCAGCACACACACACACAAGCAAGCAGGCGAGCACACCATGGAAACTGTGTACAGGGGAGGATCTGCTTTCTTTGCCAAACCTGGTTTTTCTGCACAGTCACAGTCATGGCGACCACAGTGTTTTTAAAAAAGACACCACCGAGCTGTACATCAGCGACACAGTTTGCGGTTTGCAAAATGCTCCACCTTATCATGAATTACTAATCAATGAAATCACATTGACATTCTGACAGACAGCGTGGTGGGGGAAATGTCCCACATGCCGTGAATGTTATATTATTTTTCCTCTCTTCTTCATTTGCATGACCAGGTCCTTGTAGCAGGAGGACATTATTACTTTCAGTTTGCTCCCACTGAGGCGCGCACACACACACACACACACACACACACACACACACACACACTTGTGGATTATCCTTGTGTTTTTTCATGAAAGATTGAACGGCCTCAGTCTCATATGTTCAGATAGTCTCCTGACCTTTTACGAGGGGGAATAGCACAGATAATAAAAACAACTTTCATGTCTCCCGCTTTGATGAATGCTCGTGTTAACGCTGCTGAAGGTTGCATCAGCGATAGAGTTCCCAGTTAAATCTTCAGGGTGTTCTGTTGAGTTATTTAAGGTCAGCTATAACGACCTTACGTTCCCCGCGTTGGGATGTTATGCAACTTCTCTACATCTAAACTTAGATTTTTTTAAATTTTGTTTTTTCTGTAATTGTGCTTGCAAATCTAGCTCATTCTCATTTGGAGTATTAATTCACTGTATAAATCCCTTTTCACCTCCCCAGGCCATGAAGGTGGTGTCCAAGAAGAAGCTAATGAAGCAGTGTGGTTTTCCACGTAAGTCCTCTTTCTTTCTTTCTTTCTGTTGTATTCTGTTGAACAGGAAAGCAAAGGAAAACCGAGGATAGTTTTAGATAGTAATAACAAATGCAATAAAAGAAAGTGAAGTAGGTAAGAGCAGAAGAAAGGATTTTTTTTATAGACCTCCATCATCGTCTGTTATCTAATAGCAGCACCGCAAACTGGTGCAAAGATGAATGAGCCACGGCGTCAGATGAGACACTCACGCAATTCACTGTCTGTCTAAGTGTTTACAACGGATGTTAACCAGTAATCTCAAGTACAAATTAACACCACGAAGGTGTGTCAGGTTGGGCTCAATGCCATTTATCTAACAGTACATGCAGTTACAGGCGAGGCCCGACAGTCAGCACACGGCTATGAGGCATCTCCTAGTAAGTGAAATCTTCTGTGCTGGTCTGCAGGTGCGTTACATATTTGGTATGTAAAGATGAGCAGATATTAAGACTATGGCAGTGAATGCTAAGACACATCAGATACATTTATAAAGACAGTAAAACAATTGTTCCATTCTCCAACGTGATAGATATATAGAAAATACCAGCAAGACTAACCGTAGCCTTGTGTCTGTGTGGTGGTCTGCAGGTCGCCCACCCCCAAGAGGACCAAAGGCAGCCCAAGGAGAGCAGCCCAAGATCTTAGGACCCCTGGAGAGGGTCTACCAAGAGATTGCCATCCTTAAAAAACTGGACCATATCAACATTGTAAAGCTGGTGGAGGTAAGGGGTTCTCAGTGTTTGGGTTATCGTTGAGAACAGAAAAGTAAATGGTTGCTGCGCTTGCATTCAGAGGCCAACCCATGCAGTAGTCCTATTGGAACTGGTACCATTAGATTTAGTACTATTCGGATTTAGTGATACATTAATATTGGAAAGCATTCAAATTTTAGTCCATTCTTTTTTTTTTTTTTTTTTTGTATTAACCGTGAGAGTTAATGTCTCTAAAATTCAAAGATGTCTCTCTTCATAAGTATGTTGCATTGAAAATGTTAAAGCATACTTGGATAAACTGCTTTTAACCCTAAAACATGCAGGACTGTGGCCCTCGAGGACCAGGATTGGACACCCCTGTCCTATAGGAATGAATAAAGTTCTGGTTGATTCATATATGAACACAGAGCTATGTGGAAATGTGGGTTTAAATAAAAAAAAAAACAAGACCGTTTACAATGTCTGCGTATGTGAGTGGATGTTCTGTGATCCAGTGTCGGGCCATATTTGTCTACATGACGGTGGTTGGCGTTCCGATTCAGTTTATCCCGGTAGCACCTCCACGTTCTGTATTATAGGATTCGCCAGAACTAATTTTGTAGATACACACCTCCTCAGTGAATCATGCTTTCTACACTTGCTGTTCCATTTGGTTGATATTTAAATCTAAATGAAAACAAGAGATTTCTTGCACGAGTAAAAAAATGTGCCACTTCATATGGGATAGTAGCAGGTGGACATTCACAGCAGGTTTAAAATCCACTTTGCTCAGATTACCCTTTACCACTCCATCGTCTGATAACCGTCCTTGCTGTGTGCATTTATGTCCAATCGGTTTGTCAAATGAAAAAGGTGCATAAGCCTGCCAGGAAGCGGGTGGGCAAACTGTGATGGGTTTACCCTCCAGCACATTTATCACGCTTATGATGTTTGGAAAAACAAAAGCTTCCACCCAGTAAATGGATTGTTGAAGTTCAAACTGAGTTTGGAAGTTTTGAAGATGGATCGACTCTCAGGATCTGCAGAGGCGGTTGTTTGGAGAGATGATAGCCAATTTTGAAGACGTGACTCAAGGTGCACGCCGCTCCCCTGTGATACCATCAGAGTGTTTTTTCAGTCGCGGCCAGATGGCGGGGGCACCGGCGGCGGGCTCGGGAGTTCGGCTCGGGCAGCCAGTCGGTAGGAAAGCAGTCTGGCTTGTCTTGGGTGAAGTGTGTGTGCCAGAAATGTAGAGTTTTTTAAGTGAAAGTGGAGTACTTCTGCTCCTGTGTGCTCGCTCTAGCAGAGAACACACAAACGCTCTTATAATGTGGGGATAGGAAGACCTGCTTCCCTCCTCTGCATCTCTGTCCGTCTCTGTTCATCCATTTAAATGGGCTGTGCCTGGGTCGGGATGGCATTCATTAGATGTGTCCAACTGATTCCTGTGAGACTGCGGTCCAGTCCATCTAATTATGGATAGACTCTCTGTTTCGTTTTGAAACATTAAAGCCCACGCTGAGTGGAACAGATTAAAACTGATGAAAGTGATATGGTCATTTGTCACAGATGGTTGGGAAGAGACAGTCAAAGCGACCTCGTTCTCACCGCCGCGTTCAGACGTTCTGAGAGTAGACGTTTCCATTTAAATCCCATGCTCGATTTATGTCATTTCCCCAAAAGTCAAGGTACCCTTTTAATGCATCTTAGTCACTGCAATAATCAGCGGCTTCACATAAAATGACTAAGCTTCTAATGGGCTGCTTTTTGCACACAACATCAGCAGTTCATTTACTGTTTATAAGGTTTTGTGCTTTGACTGGGAACAAAAACAGAAACACAGCGTGTGTCGCAGAAGGACCGGTTTTTATTTATGTGTTGGCAAACATTTACACACTGACAGTTTCAAGGTCTGTTAAAACTAACGTGTCAGTTGCTTTAGTAGTGACGTCCTGCGCTTGTTCCCTCAGCGCGGTGTGTCCTTGGCAGACACTTTGCCACGCTCATTTAAATTCACCAGGATGTTGCATTTAGGCTCCAGGTGCTTTCTGGAGGCTGTGAGCGGTCGCCTAAGCTGTGCAGTCCAGTGGGAAGGCCTGTTTTCATTAACCTGGCTGAGGCTGGATTATCAGCCCACAAAGCTCCTGCTTACTCTATGTCAAGCAGTTTGTGTGGATATAATTAAACATTTGTGGAAATATCTCCTTTGAGGCTTGATATTAAGTGAAAGAATGGACCTTTAAGCCCTCTTTGCACAGGACTAGTAATACATCGTGTGGTATAGAAACTGCTCCCCCACGCTTGTGTTTCAACCGACGCATTGGCACGAGATCAACCATAAAAATCTGCGTTTAGTGACATTATCCCTGGACACGGTATTAATCGGCTGCCTGTTGAACGACAGCAAAAATGTTCCTTACAGGATGCTGCCACGTACGTCACCCGTCTCATCATCTCTTGACATTTTGCTCCTCTGATGGATTTCTCTGAAAGGGTCTCTACGCCGACATGAGCCTTGGAAATTTGCTCCCAAAATCCTTTCAGAGCTTTCATTCATAATTACCAACGCATAAAGAAAGAAAGGTGCTGAAAGAAAAACACGAAAACCTGCAAATATAGAAAAAGAAAAACAACCCAGAATAACACTGAAGCCATTTTGCATGTTACTGATTTTATCACAAGACGGATTTGCTCTTTCTTCTGCTCAAAACCTGGCAAATGCATTATTCACAACGCAACCGTAACAGCTGTCAGACTGAACAACATTCTCTGGAGCAAACAAAATGTACACGTCTGCATCCGCCCTGCTGCTTCTGCTGGCAAATCAATTCAGTTGTGTCAGATCCACTGGCAACCATAGCAGGCTGTGACAAAAGCACCACCTTGTTTGTGGTGCTTTGGCTCATGTGTGGGGGTCTTATTGCAGCAAAACTGTTTGTAAATGTGTACGGAGAGTCGTGTGTCTGTATCTCAATGTGTGTGTCTGTGATGTGTAGAAAGATCTGTAAATGCATGCAAAGATAATAATAGATGAAAAGTCTAAGGATTTGGCTACCAGTGCTGGAAATACAGACAAATCACCAGCTACAAGTCAAACAGGCCTCACCATTGGCTGTCCTTCTAAATATGACATTTGCTTCTCTTCTGAGAGATTCGTATCTGTAACTTGAGGGTTTCTGTGTCCTGAGCTCAGGCTCACAGGCTCGTTCATTCTGCTGCTCTGTACCTTGGTAGTTGTGCCACCTGCAAGCCATCATGAAAGTTTTTGCTCAGCGACCCACAAACTCAGCAAATTTAACTTGTTCACATGTACCAGCCTCAAAGACTCTTGAGGATGCAGGAAGCATAACTACTGAGGTGCAGAGCGGCACGCAGCCAGAATGAACGAGCCTGTGAGCCTGAGCTCAGGGCAAAGACACCCTGAAGTTACAGATATGAATGAAGTGAAGCAAAAGTCATGTGTAAAAATACAGACAATTGTGAGGCCCGCTGGACTTGTAACTGTTGATTTGTCTGTGTTTCCAGCACTTGTAGCCAAATCCTTAGACTTTTCATCTATTAATATCTTTGTACGCATCGACAAATCTCCCTATAGACACACACATTGAGATACAGACACACAACTCTCTGTACACATTTACAAATAGTTTTGCTACAATAACTCATGAACTGTTCCTTTCATTCCCTTCAAATTTAATTTCCATATTTTTTGTCAACTTTTGCTCTTTCATCCACAAAACTTTGCTTCCCAGCTCTGCCAGTTTCTTTTTGGATGTTTTTATGAGCTGCAGCCTTACCTTTCTGTTGTTTTAAAGGTTTAACAGTGATGTACCTCCCGTGGTGAACTCTATGAGGATCTGGTCAACAAGTCTTGTGTTTGAAACATGCATTTCAGGAAGCATCCTTGACTTGCTGTGCAGCCGTAGAGACATTATTTGTATGCACGGTTTGATACTTTGTTGGTTTACATAAAGCTTTTTGAAACAGCAAAATTAATGAAAAAATAAATAAGTCCTTGCAAAAAATATTTTTATGCTTCTTTGAGGTGTGTTTAGACGCAGAGAGACAAGCACCGTCATTAAGGTGGATAATCAGCTGGAAAAAACTAGGGGGGGCTTCCTCACTGCACGAAGCAAATCCTCTGCAAAGCTGAACATTTTCAGTGTGTTCGGACTGACTGGAGCAGCCAGTGACGGGCTGATACCCAAAGTCTACATGCAGGGAGTCAGACTTTTTGCTTCCACGTAGTTAATGGAGACAAACCTAAATCACATTTTTTATTCTTTTTTTCAAAAGTTTGCTTCACATTTACTTGACAATTACATGGAAACAGAGCTATTATCCTGTATTCCTGGGCACACCTGTGGCAAATCAAATACACTTTTTGACAGCTTTTCTGTGGTCTCATTATCTTGCGTGGTCGCATTGTACTGCTCACATTGACAGACAACTAATTCTAGATGACAACTCTATGTGGGCATCTGTGAAACACACAACTTTAACGTTTCTCAGCCGTGTGTCCAATTACTTTTAAACCTCTGCAATTTGGACAGTGGGCGATAAAATGGCTGCAGCGTAATCAGTGCAAATCAGTGTGTTCTTCCATTACAAAAAAAATTGAACCGAGCACCAGTGGAAATGGAGCTAAAGGGGCCCGGCAGCCCACTCCTGCCCCTGGGCCCTGGTATCAGGCACATCCAGTCCTGAACCCGGTCAAGTGTCGACTGCAGAGATGTCAATTTGCACCAATCATGCCAAGCTGGTGTTTTAAATTACAGCTCTCAGCGGCGTCCTAGCTGTTGGGAATTACAAGCAGCTTTCATGTGAGAATAAAGAGAAGGCAAAGGAGGAGCAGACGTTTAGATTCTGCACGGTGTTGGTCCTGAATGCACGCTGTCAGCTTTTTAAATAATCCAGAGAAAGTGGAAGCATTATATGTTTTGAATGCATGTGTTTAGTTCACAACCACCTGTACCTTCTGTGGATATTCTCTCTTCATGCTGGTTATGTTAATGTTGCAGGTGCTGGACGACCCATCGGAGGACAACCTTCATATGGGTATGCGCGACATGTTTTCTTTGTCCAAATCCTGACGCCCCACTTCTGCCCTCTTTCTTTCTCTGCCTTGGGCTCTTGACACATATGCCACTAACAAGTGCTCGTATAATTTATTCAGAATTCTGATCCCTCCACACCACCTCGGGGCACACACATTATGCAGAAAACCTTCCACTGGCAATTCCAGGTCACTGCTAGGACGCTTGTTATTGTGCAGCTTCAAACTCTTTATGAGCCAGTGAAGATGACTGATGTGAAGCTGGGGTGGTCAAACCCAGCTGAATGAATGAATGAATGAATAAAATATCTGGTCTTACGTGTTCCTATTTCCTTCTCCCTCCTCTTTTTTTTTTTTTTCCAAACAGTGTTTGAGCTGATGCGCAAGGGGTGAGTAGAGAGCATGTCCTTTTTTACTTTTGAATAATTTAAAGCTCATCCTCTACCTTCACCTCCTCGTTTCTGCATTCCTGCCTTCAGTCTCGTTCTGCCTCACGACTCCAGGCTGACACAGTGCGGGTGTTTGTTCCGTCTCAGGCTTCAAAGGGATTCATAATGTTCTTAGGTTTTCACAGTTATTACCAGTGGCAGCCAGCCCTTTAAGTGTTTCGGCTCCCGATGCATGAGTCGTTCCTTCCTACACCGCTAAAAAAAAAAGAAAAAATTGCGATGATCTAATGATGCGAGACCTTTTGTTATGATAAGCGGATGTAGGTGGGAGGGGGGGGGCTGGTATTATTCACATATGTGCGCGCATAAGTCATATTCTGCTTTTTATAAAAAGACAGGACCTATTTGTTTGCTTGTATAAGTGAAGTGCCTCTGGGAGAGAGATGATAGAGATTGTGATCTGATTAATAGAGCTATTACTGTAGCTACTATAAGATATGGATGTAGTATTCATGTAGTAAATCTAAAAGCTATTTTGCTTTCATACATAAGATGTAGTTTAAGTGCTACGGCTGTTATTATCACGGCTACTAATGCGGCTGGCAGGGGTCCCTCCAGAAATGTTTTCATAACTCGAAAACACGTAACTGCTGCTTCAAGAAGTTAATTCTGCGGATGGTCAATAAAAACTACGGTAATGTGAGAATTCGGGATTCAAATACTGATATGCCTTGGATGTGTATTTTTATATCAATAACTGTCTGACGTGCATAGACTAATGCGTTACCTTTTGGTTATCTGGGTGACCAAAACAGCCGACAAGAGGAGTATTTGATAGGAAAAGTTCAGCCATAAGCAACAGATCCAGTTTATTTCTGATTTCAATCTGTCCATGTGTGGTGCTAATTTTACTACACCAACTTATGGTACAGTTAAATGTTCTTTCATCGTAGCAACTGGACTTGCTTGAGTTCCTTGAAGGAGCCATTAACAATCGCATAACGAGGAAGAGGAGCAACAACCCCCAATTGAAACCGAAACTCAGGTGTTAATGTCTCCTTATGGATACTAGTATCTGGAACTCCCATCTAGTCAGTCAGAGCTGATGAAGCCTCTTGGATGAGAGGTGGAACGTCTTCAAGGAACTCAAGCAAGTCCAGTTGCTATGATTAAACTACGAGAATAACCATGATGACCTGGATGACTTGAGAATCTTCACATACAGTTAATTGTTACACGGCTGCCCGATGTCATGTTTTTGTAGTTCCATGAATGATTAGAAACGTGATCAATAACGTAATTGCTGCAAATCCCCCAAATTAAGAAGGCAACAACTCGGAAATCATAGTTGCATTCGCTGCAGCTTGGACACCAGAGTTTCAGTGAATGAATTTAACCAGAACCATCGAAGGTGGCTAATGAGATTTTGGACCCCCCTTTGATTCTCTAAAAACATAATACCGCACTGCCCCCTTAATGTCATACAGCTTTATAGAATATCCCGTTTATAATCCTAAAATATCGAATCGTTTCCTGTAGAACCTGTAGTAAAACAGCCCGTTTATTGTCATAGAATAATGTCATAATAATGTAATTGATTCCAGGAATAACTTTTGCCCGTTTAAAGTCCTGGTCGGCCGATCGTTACGGCTCACGGGCCGAGCGTCGGTCACGCTTGGCAGATCATCACACCTCAGTCAGCCGCGGAAGACAGTGTGTTTGTTTGTTTGTCGATTAGCTGCTCACCTGAGATCTGCTTCACTGAGTTGTTCACACACTGTCTGACATTTATTAGGGCTCATCAAAGAGATGTTGCAGCTCGCTTATTGGAATATCCCGGATGTAGTCATAATTCCATCCTGGACCGAGGGTATGATAATAAACGGGCAGCACTGTAGTAGACGTGTTAGTAGTGTTACTGCTGTACTGGATTAAACTGATGCTGTATTTATAGCTTAAAAAACAGCACCACTACAACTAATAAGGACTTAAGATTGCAAAGTGATGGACTGGCTTCAATGGGTTTAGTCTTCAAACTGACAATATGTTTGTTAATCCACAGTGAATTTAGACAGTGGATTAATCTTTGAAGTCATTTATTAAGCAAAAATGTGCTCAAATGTAGTTTTCTAACACCATAAAAGGACATAGTTTAGGGTGTATTTGTTGACTCTGTGATTGATGTACACAAAATGATTTATACCACAGTACAACATTTCTGTATAAACATACATCATCGGCATAATTACATAATCTTCATTCTTACTGGCTCACTGGAGTATACTCAGTAACGGAGTCAGCTCGCTGGCAGAAAGCAGGCAGAAAAGGAAGATTATTTGCGATAAACAAATTATTGGCCTGTGGTCAAAACACACAAGTAAATGAGTGTACAGCACCGTGTTTGCTGAGGCTGAGTTTTTAAGAACAAAAAAACCCGACTTTGGTTCGTTGGGAGAGTCCGTGTTTATCCTGGTGTGAGGAGCGATGAGCTGGTGATTCCTCTTTATGGTCGTTTTTACTGAGAGCTGCACAGCAAAGCTTTATTAAGATGAAAACAGATATTGATTTTGTAAATGGATGATGCACAAAGACTGAGCTGGTTGTTCACATATGAAAAGTGACTCGGAGAAAGCCTGAGAGAGAGAAAAAAAAATCGAGATTTGTTCCACAGAGTAGCTGTTTTGTGAAGAAGCTCTGCCTTTATTAAATACGTCATATATCACACTGTACATTTGTCACCAGCTCATATATAATTGATTAAGAAATGTAGTAACTATTCTAGATTTGCTTTGTTGCTCTTGGGTGTGATTTACTGTTTGCTGTAGACAGTCTATGATCATAATGTTTACATCTGGATCCCATTTGAACGTCTTCACATTTGGATTCCGACGCTATTCAGGAAACAGCTAAAACACATGATCTGTGGATTTGTCTGCCACGATGTTTGTGTGTCTGTTTGTGTTCTCTGCCGGCTGCCTGTGTGGATTCATAGTCCGGTGATGGAGGTGCCAACAGACGAGCCTCTGTCAGAGGAGCAGGCGCGCTTGTACTTCAGAGACGTCATCCTGGGCATGGAGTACTGTAAGTACCTCACACACAGAAAGAACCTCACACACACACAAAGTACCTCACACACACATATAAAGTACCTCACACACACACAAAGTACCTCACACACACATAAAGTACCTCACACACACATAAAGTACCTCACACACATAAAGTACCTCACACACACACATAAAGTGGCTAAAGTGAATTAGAACGTGGCCTGTCTTTGGCTCTGTGAAATGTTAGGTGAAATAAATTTGCACATTTTTAACAATTAATTCTTTTGTGCGGCTCTCCCACCTAAAAAACTAGATGGTAGTTTTTTCTCGTGGCCAGAAAAAATGTTAGATTTGGCATTACTAATAATATCGCTCAAAGTTTAAATGGTTTTGGCAGAAACAGTTTGCTGTCTTTCTGCTTTTTAAATATAGTGATAGTAACTTCCTTTTTTTTGTTATTCTAAGGAACAAATTGTTCCTGACCCTCTGCTTCATACCCCTGGGGTCTGGCTGCAGTTGCCTGCTGTCCACCTCCTCATCAGTATCGAGCTTCTGCTTAGTGCCATGGTTTGACTCAAGCTGGGTGCTCATTTGCTGTAGTAGATCAATTTCAGCAGGCTATGAGCCTAATGATTGGAGATCAATGCGGCCTCTCTCTGAGCTCTGAGGTCCATTTTCAAAATAAAGAAAAACACATGTCATTTATACGTTTGGGGGATTATTTCAACAAAGTTTCATCTAAAAGCGCTTGTTGGATGCTTAATATTCAGTCATGGTCACGACTGAGGCTAAAGAGTGCTTCAGCAGATGAATCCAGTTTTGCTGATTACGAAGCACTTTCAGACACTTGGCCCTTTTTCACAGTAAAGATTTGAATCTAAAATACGCTGACTACCATCGGTGGAGCCCTAAAATATTTGATAATAAATAAATAATGAAATTTCCAACAAGCAAATTTCATTTACAATTTCCTAAATTTCAAAATGCTCTTTTATGAAAGTCAGTATTTAAAATGATATGTGTGTTGTTGTGATTGTTCTGGCCTGATTGTTTGCTGTGGTTGCTTCAGATGAAGGTGCACTTACACTGAAAGAGGAAATAATGTCATTCTGAATCTACCAACTAGTGTCTGCTGCTGTAAATTAGCACAATAACTAAACTTCTTTAGCTTCAACGTGGAGATCGAGTGTTTGGTAGGGCTGAACCGGAATGGCTGAATAGCCGACTATTCGTTTGCTGTGCTGTAATTGGGATACCAATTTTGATCTCCGAGTAGTCGTCCATTAATTGGAGCCGAATATTCGGAGATCAGAAATTGCTATTAGGACTAGCCCTGGTGTTTGGGGTGTTCACAAGCTCCTGTCTCTGAGGAACATTTTTAGTCTCCCAAGACGAATTGAATTAACTCTCTAATGTCAGCTGCTGCTTCTTACACAGTCTGAGTAATAACATAAGCATAGACTGTATATAAAAGATTTGTCGGGAAAATAAAGCCAATGCAGTAGCACCTAAAACCTGCAATATTTCCAACAGCCAGCAGGGGGCGTCTGTTCTAGTGGCAAAAATTAGTTTGAGGGTATAGAAATCTTGGAGAAAATGGCCCTACGTCTTACTTAATTTGTCAGAACAGTAAACATTTTCCTAATGAGTTTATGGTTTCAATCACTAGTCTCTCAATTTATATTTTTTCTTGCCACCTTTCCAAACATGTACATACAATCCCCACAAAGTAAAACAGAAACCCAATGCCCCATCCCAACCCAAGAACACGCACATACACACCTACATATACACACACTATGGAGGAGAGAATTCAAGTTCAACTTAAAAAAAGACAAACAAGTATCTGGTAGCATATAACGTTCATAAACAAAACAGAACAAGAAAAAAGAAACACATCAATAAAAACATATAAATGCACGACAAACTATGTAAAACTACAGTCAGACCAAATCCAGATGTTTCAACAAAGGACCCCAGGATGCTTCCCATTTATGTTGGCCTTTTACATTATCAAACCGCAGTTTCTCCAGATGGAAAATCGAAGCGAGTTCATGTAACCAGTCTTTGAGGCATGGTGGGGTTGATTTCTTCCTGTCTTTAAGAATTAGTTTTTTTGGCTAGAACCATGCCCATCAACAAAACACTGGTTGAATATGTGAGGGAAGAGTTTCAGAGCCCTCTGAACAGCCAAAAAGAGCAAGGTCCCTATCAGGGGGGAAAAGCCCTGTGGTAAATCCCAGAATAAAAAGAAAAAATACTTGACCAGAACGACTTAATACGTGGACAGTCCCAAAATAAATACAGCAGCATCACTTAATTTACATCTATCACACGATGGGGACACAGTGGAATAAAATTTATGTAGCATAACCTTCAGAATAATGAAAACGATGTATAGCTTTGAACTGAATTAGCCTGTGTCTGCTATTTATTGAGGAGGTATGAATGCGAGAAAGTGCGGCCCTCCATTCAATCACTAGTCTTAAGCCTCCTTTAATACAGTATTTTATTTTATTTAGTAAACTCTGCAGCATTTAGAGTTAAATAGTTGATGAAACAGGGCATGCTTGAGGCCATGGCTACCTTGTGATTGACAAGTCGCTATTAAATACTTTGCCCTCTTAATGTCCTTGTTAACTAGCGATCTTTTCCTTTATCACGTCTCTCTCTTCAGTTTAAAACTCACCATCCAGACTAGCATACCAAACCTCCACTGTTCTGTTTCTTAAGTGCTCATAGAAGTGAACTGATATCGTGTCAATGTCATGGTCAAAGCTGTCTGTGTTTACTCCTGAATAAACTATTTATTCATGTGAGTACTTGTTTTATAATGACTTTTTCATTTGATGTGGAATATTTATGGACTCCATAACTAACTCATGAAGCAGTGAATATCTGTTGATATACTCTCGGTGACCTTTATTTAATGCGCCATTTGTGTCAAAATGAAAGTGAAATAGCGCGTCCTCTTCGACCTTAATGGGCCTAAATCATGAACGTGACGAGTCGTTCTGGACGTCGCTGGCATGCTTATTTAATCTGAGCATTATTCGTGCTGGCAACATTTAATTGCCAAGGTCTTTTAATAAGTCAAGTACCTCATGTTTCATTAAGACGTCCTCAGACAAGAAGGCACCACTTATCCAATCAGCCAAGTGTCCAAGGCTGAGCTCCCAACGGCTGCTGAGTGTAAAGCTTACAGAAGATGACCTTCGGTTCAGGCTTCACATCATTCTTACACTGCAGCAATCAAACCGAGGTCAAAGCAATGATTTCTGCACTTCTGTAGTCACACGTTGTCTCTCATGCGTGTTATTTAGTGTAAGTTAGAGATAGACTGTGTCGTTTTTCTGCAGAATGAAAGACACATGCGATTTGTGTTTTTCCACTAGAATATAGAAGATTGGCTTTATTAGAGACGGAACAAGATCTTATTGGAGATTATTACTTTATATTAAACAAATGGATGCTGGATTGGATAAAGCACACAAGTAATATACCTAAGGGCAGTCTTGAGATACTTTTGCTTCTAATCATAGACTGTATAAAAGATGGACGTAGCAACCGGCCCTGAAAAATGAAGCCAACCCGGAAGTGTCAAAAACCTGCAATATCACTACGTCCACTAGCTGCTGGCTCCAAAAAGCCCTGGCTCCCATAGACTGGAATTGGAAAAGAAGTGATCACAGATTATGAAATACTGCATTCCTACAGCTCAGGATTTTTGCATTAACTCGACAGCTCTAGTTACTGACTCACTTTTAGATGAAGATTTTAAACTCTAACTTGCAATACATTGTTAAAGATTGAAATAGTTTCCAACCTTTTGGGCTTGTGGAGGCCGGTTTCAATCCCAACTTGACCCATACGACCTTATGTTTGAATGTACTGGATGCTCGTTAATGTAATTTGTTAAAACCTATAAAAATCTCTCAATGTGAGAAATAGATGTCTAGAGTCTGTACGTAAATGTTGTGATGTATAAGGGGCATATCGTTGACCAGGTCCTGATCTTTTCCTAAATTTAGCCAATTAATGGTGGTGCAGACTGTTAATTAAGTGATTTTGGTGCCTAGTAACCAAACAGTGACTGACAGAGAGACTAAAGTTGAAAAATAAAACCAAACAAAGTGAGAAAATAATGACATGGGACATAAATCTGAGAGACCTTGACTTGCGCTGCCACCATCCCTCCCACCTCCATATGAGACTCTTAAATTATACATCTGTCAGGATTGAACATTGACGTGGGTGGCACCATCACCAAACTCCATCTTGTGAGATGTTTGACAAAACAACAGTATTTGACGCCTCGGGAATGAGAACGGGCTTGTCGCACTTTCTAAAATGACTCGACTGGTTTGTGCTTCTTGACAGGTTTTAGATGTCATTGAGTTGTTAGCAGTTACAGCAGAATTCCTCTTTAAAAGTCTACAGTTGGATTACTTTAGCGCCCAGAGATGGGAAGATTCAGGAAGAACAACACAAAGAAAGAACAGACATTTGAGTTAAAAAATGTTCTTCAGTTTTTCCTTTTTCCTCCAATGATCCTCTCATAACTCTCCAGATTGTGACCCTTGGAGCTGCCTGGGTTAGAAACCACTAAACTATAAAGTAATCAGATGCAGGACTAATAGTAATTATAATACTTTTACTTAAGTAGGATTTTAAATGCAGGACTTTTATTTTGTTGTAATGATGTCTTTACCTAACTAAATAATCTTCTTCTACTGCTGTTCAGCTGCTGTGTCTGTCCAGCAGATTGGTCCAAACTGATATTTTTCAAGATGTACCAAGAGCTCACGGCCACGTTGGATCTTCTATTTGCTGTGGATATCCGTCACAGCATGATTCCCAATTTATTTTGGTGGTCCCTGACATTCCATCTGCCGCCGTGTTGCTCCATGACAAACTATTTCAGTGATGTACGGCCTAGTTTTCATATTATGGTTCCCCAAAGATGGAAGGAAGGAAGAAAAAAATAAAAACTCTATTTATTGTGTCAGACTGCCGTGAAATGTATTGAGTTCATTCACACGTTCCCAGGGGATGAACCTTTTCCATTTCCGATCCTTGAGTTTCTCTGCAGCCTCCAGGCACAGCCCAGACAAGTGACATTCCTCTTTCTCGTCGTCAGTGCACTACCAGAAGATTGTCCACCGGGACATCAAGCCTTCTAACTTGTTGCTGGGGGACGACGGCCATGTGAAGATAGCGGACTTTGGGGTCAGCAACCAGTTTGAGGGCAACGACGCTCTGCTGTCCAGCACTGCCGGCACTCCTGCATTTATGGCACCGGAGACCTTGTCGGATAAGCGCAAGAGTTTCAGCGGAAAAGTGAGTCGACTCTGTGAATGTAATGAGTTAGTGTGTGTATCTGAATGTAAGTGAACTGAATTGCAAATGCTGTAGCGTAGCACAGCAGATCAGTAGACGCTCTCACACTGAGCAGCAATTAACCAAAGACACAACAATTTCATAAATAACTTTAATGAAACACTGAAGTTCACGAAACAGCAAAGGAGGGAGGGGAAGGATTACGACTTCTTGTATTGTGACGATGACATCTTTACATTGAAAATAGTTATTTGCTGCTGTTTTATTCGTATAATAATGATCAGAATCTCATATAAGTCACCTTTAAGGACAGAATTTTCCTCATCTGCAGTGAGCGGATTGATCCCCACCTGCCTCTGCAGCCAAAGAATCTATTATTTGCAAACCAGATAATCACAAGGCTTTAATTTTTATTAAAGACATGATTGATGCATTGCCGGTTTGCGTCCCGGTGGGGGCTCCGGAATCTTTCTGCGTGGAGTTTGCATGTTCTCCCCGTGCAGCGTGGGTTCTCTCCGGGTTCTCTGGCTTCCTCCCACAAACATGTTGAGGTTAATTGGTGATTGTAAATTGTCCGTAGGTGTGAATGTGAGTGTGCTTGGTTGTCTGTCTCTAAGTGTGGCCCTGTGATGGACTGGTTACCTGTCCAGGTGAACCTGCCTTCACCCTGAGTCAGCTGGGATAGACTCCAACCCCCCATGACCCTAGTGAGGATTAAGCGGTGTATAGATAATAGATGGATGGATGATTGATGCAACTGAGTCTTATTAACCGATTCAACCGATTCTGCAGATGTTGGGTATTAACTATAAAACTCTTTAAATTGTGCGTTTCCTGGCTGCAGTTCTTGATGTACACATGGTGCAAAGGGTTGGAAGACACTTTTAAATAATCACGATGCTCACAAACACAGAATTTTTACATATTTGTCGCTTATAAGTTGCCAGTAATTTTCATTTCTATAATATAGTCAATGGTTGATGCAAATCACCATCTTGTTAAAGAGATTGCAAGCGGCAGCATCCACACGTTTAGAGGCCAATCAGTGTGAAACACCCTCCCCAGGTCTCAGCGCTGTGATCAAATCCTCGTCCAGCGTCATTGGCGTGGGTCGTATTTCTTCCTCCAGCGGTTCTGGTAAAAGGCAGACCGGATGGAAGCCTGAATAGAACATTTGATTGCAGACGAGCTGTCGCGGTGAAAGAGCCACTCAAGTAGCTCAGCCTGCTTTCACCTCGAGCTTTCGAGAAACATATTCAGCCCTCGTGCTCCTTTCTCTCTGATTAGCCTTCATTCTTTCAGATCTGGATTCGGTCAAACCGTGTTCCAAAGAGGACATAAATTAGCGGCGAAATCTTTAATATCCGACTCTCGTGTGTCACCTGAAGCCCCTCGAGTGTCAGTCGCAGCAGTACATCTTGCGTCTGATGAGTTATGTCGGTGGCACTGAGGTGGAGTTCACCGGTTCAGACGGCGAGTTTAATCATTCCGTATCCATCGAGGAAAACAAATGGGTTTTAGGTTGAGCTGCAAGCAGAGAGAGAGGCTGGATGGAAGAGCCCGGCCGGTAGCAGCAGCGCCCTGAATCCATCTTCGAGGTATCTGACAGTAAACGCTCCCAAAAAATATCCTTAAAACACCCCATAAATCACTGTCTGCATCGATTCAGGTCGCTGTGTTTGTCTGGGAGGGGAGGTGTTGGCTTCACTGCAGCGTGCTTTTCAGTCTGTTTGTCATTTAACATCACTGCTGGCTCTTTCTTAAAGGCGCTGGATGTGTGGGCCATGGGAGTTACCCTCTACTGCTTCGTCTTCGGGAAGGCAAGTCTGCACATTTACTGTCTCTTCTCTCCTTCGCTCATCAACACGTGGCTCATGGATGTTAACAGTAAAGGCTGGAGTCGGTGTGATTCTTCTCTAGTGTCAGCGCTCATTTTAATGAATACTAGGAACTGATTACTGCTGCTGTTGTTTGTCGTGGCAGCCTGTAGGGCTTCAGGTTTTCTCTGACACAGAACTAAATCAATGTACCTTCCTCCTGGTTTTCACTGTCTTCCCTCTGCTCTACCTGCAGTGCCCGTTTATTGACGAGTACATATTGGCTTTGCACAATAAGATAAGGACCAAGCCTGTGGATTTCCCAGAAACGTAAGTCCGTCTCCCTCTCTTCCACTTTATTAAAAACGACAGCAATGTTGCACCAGAACCCGCTCAAGTCTTTACCTTTCATCTCATCTGCATCGTCACAAATTGCACCAACATAGATATGAATAGCTCGCCACAGCAGCACGCCGTAAATGTCACCTGCATGTGATCAAAACAAGCATTGACAAAGCAAACTGAGGGATCAGCAGCCTGGACACACACACACAAGCTGCTCCTCCTGTTCACTAAAAGACTAAAGAAACACAAGGAAGGTCTTCTCGGGTGAAGAAAACAGTAAAAACAGAAGAGGTGAAGTCAGAAATAGGAACACGGGGAACACACTGATGTTACACAAACACAGCAGAAGTGAAGGGCCTGTGAGTAGCAGCTGGAGTATGTGGCAGGACAGGGTGCCATGTTGTTAATGATAAGTGTCTTCCCACTGTGGGCTCAAGAGACTCCACGGCTGTGCAGAAAGCCTCTTCATTACATGCTACCACCCCACCGAACTGAATGCAGCACATTACCTAATGGAGTCATGTCTGTCCTGTAGCAAGTTACTGAGAATCAGCAGGACTGACAGCACAGATCACACAGCTGCAGATAACGTCATGCAACCGTCGTTATGATTAGTAGCTGGACTCATTCATTTATTTACTTTTCGTCCTATGTTTACTTCCATTCATTGTCATTGAAATGTAACATGGATGTTGAATGTTTATAAAAAACAAATGTAATGCTGATAGTTTGAAACATTTTAGACGATTCCAGCCATCTACTTGTTGATTTTAGCTAACTGTTGTAGCCGTTATTTTAGCCAGGTAGCAAATAAACTGTTTTATTTATCTATCTTGGTAATTATCTTTAGCTATTATTTAGCTAGCATATTCAGTGTTTGGTTGAATTGCTCACGCCTTATAAAATAAGTGACGTGGTGCTGCAGACAGACAGAGTTTGTTTGTAGTTCTCAGAAGGCTGCTGAATGCTGTTTTTATAAGATGCAACTTCAGTCTGGTTTTTAATGACCCTGCCTTAACGTGCCTATTGTACAGCTTATAATATAATCATAAGATGCTGAAAATACATAAAACATGGTGCCACATGTGTAAAAGCAAACTTGTCTCCAAAAAAAAACCTTTCCTCAAATCATTATCTTGTGTTTCGTGCAGACCAAAGATCAGTGAAGAGCTGCGGACTCTGATCTTGCGGATGCTGGATAAAAACCCCGACTCCAGGATCACCCTGCCGGAGATCAAGGTAAACAGAGAACAGAGCGACATGAGAGGGTAGACACCTGCTAGCTGAGAAGCTGGGCAGCAAATTTGAACACGATCGTAACGAGAGGATGTCATCACTCACATTAACATAGAACACAACTCTTCTCCCCTCTGAGACTCTGACTGGTTGTTCAGAGATGCTGTGTTGCTCTGGGGCATGATGAAACCTGTCCGTCCCTCCGGAGCACTGGGCTTCCACTTAGACTGACAGGGGGGTGATCCAGGACGAGCCCTGGACTGATGACATCCCCCCGCTGTGTTTCCATGATACAATCTGGTCGTGTGTCAGTGCGTCATTTTCTCACCAGAGACTCTGATTGTGTTCTCGGAGCCAGAGATAATGAGGCTGTCGGGCATCATACGTGACCTTGAGCAGCGATACGCACACACAAACTCTTTTTCTTGACACGAGTTGCGAGAGGCAGCTCGGCACAGCGCTGCCGCTTTAATAGAAGATTAAGAGATAAATGGAAGTGTGGCTGTTGGTCACATCACATTTTATAACAGCTACATCAAACTCATGCACCTAACCTAAATCATGTTTTCATTTATGTTCTATTTATCTTTGCTGTATCACATACTTTATGAGGTTTGAATTTATGTCAAAGTACAAAAGTGACCTCGCAGCAAGTTTAAAGTTGCTCTAGTTGGGTTACACATAAATACACCATGAATCATGATGGCGCTCACAGATTAGAAGCATCAGCATATCCTCTGGTGTCTTCTCGGGTGATTGTTATCACACTATTGTGGTCAGCTTCGAAAACGTGGACGTCAGAGCTTCTCAGCCAGCGTGTGAATGCACCAGAAGTGTCTGCAGGCTTCTCAAAAAACCTGTTTTCTTAAAGAATCTCTCCTACGCACATTTACAGGTTGTTGGTTTTATTTTGGGTGTCAGCTAGAATATATTTATATACATAGCACTGTATTTGTTATCATTCTGTACATTGCTGGGGCTGCAAGGTGGAGCAGTGGTTAGCATTGTTGGTTAGCACTGTTGCCTCGCAGCAAGAAGGTCGCCGGTTCGCATCCCGCTGAAGACACCCGGGATCTTTCTGCGTGGAGTCTCCATGTTCTCCCCGTGCAGCGTGGGTTCTCTCCGGGTTCTCCGGCTTCCTCCCACAGTCCAAAAACATGTTGAGGTTAATTGGTGATTCTAAATTGTCCGTAGGTGTGAATGTGAGTGTGCTTGGTTGTCTGTCTCTAAGTGTAGCCCTGTGATAGACTGGTTACCTGTCCAGGTGAACCTGCCTTCACCCTGAGTCAGCTGGGATAGACTCCAGCCCCCCATAGTGAGGATTAAGCGGTGTATAGATAATGGATGGATGCTGTCGCGCTCCTACTCACCCTCTGCCTGAGATGGTCCATTTTAGTTCCTGTCTCTCCAAGGACCATTCTCCCAAAACGCCCAGTCAGTCTGATTGGTCAGCTGGCACCACGAAAACAAAGCAGCTTTGCTTTCTGTATCGTACCCTAAGATCTCTGAGTATAAGACATGAGAGATGCAGATCCAGTGAGGAAATTAACGGTGGACTGCAAGGAAGCTGCTGATTCTTTTTTTCAAGATGGTGGTTAAACCACTCGACACAAATGTGTTGCAAAGTAACAGAAGCAAAGCCTGGACTTCAAACGAACCATTACCAGCAAGTGCTGAGCAGAGTTTTCTGTGGGAGAAATTTGGTATGAAGTTGTGTGTTTCGTAAGTGTGCAGAACTTTCACATATGTAAAACAGCAATAACACGCTAAAGGAAAGGGCAAAACCAAAAAATAAAATGTGGGCTCTTTAATGCTGACAAATCCAATGTGAGCAAGTATCCAAGTTATAGCGAGATGACTTGTTTTTCTGTGCACCAGAGCTCCATCGACCTTTATCACAGCAGAGATCTGAACTTGTCACTGTAGAAGAAGCACAGATGTGTTTATGATGGCTGCATTCCACTTGGCTTCTGTGCCTGCTGGTTCTCTATCATGGCTACTGGGGACACTTACTGGAATGGTGCCATCGTAATTAATGTAAAAGTGATATCTTTGAGAAATACCAGTCTGGTTTTACAAGAAGAACGCACAGCACTGCAACAGCTCCTATTGCTGATGATGGACGTGACTCCATCCTTGTCTTCCTGGATCTCAGGGGAAGCTGCTACCAAAAAAGACAGACGTTTCTGCGTTGGCATTGCTGGTGCTAGGGGTGTCTCAAAGCTAAGAGCAGGGTCCAATCCTCCGTTTGATTTCTGTCTTCCCTCTTGGCTCCTGTATACGTACATTTACACAGGCATCAGTCAAGCTCACAGCATTATAAAGCTGCTACATTCAGCTATTGGCATCCATACAATAAAGGACATAAATTAAGGACAATAAATTCTAATAACTTCTTTAACTGTAAACTACATTGTATAATTCATCCTACATCCACCCAACCAGTCGAGGCAGATGGCCGTCCCTCCCTGAGCCTGGTTCTGTCGGAGGTTTTTTTTCCCCTGTGGGGGTTTTCGGTTCCTTCCCACTGTTGTGGACTGCTTGCGGACTGCTGAAGCTTATAGGGAATCCAGATGTTTTGGATTGTTGGGTGTTTCTGTTTCTGCCTTTGTGAAGCGCTATGAGATGACTTGTTGTTGTAAATATGCGCTATACAAATAAAATTGAATTGAAAAAAAAATACAGGGATGTGAGAAGATCTCCTGCAGCTAAATGAAGACAACACAGAGATGTTGATCATAGGTCAATGTAGTGCAACTGGCCGAGAATCAGACAGCCGTGGTTCTGTGTCGCATTTAGAAACCGAGCGCTGCAGGATTCTTGGTGTATTTGAGGTTAAAACTGCAGCTCAGACAAACATCGATGCTCCAACCCTGCTGTCGGGTCAGAAACGCTTCTGGAGACTCTTAGTCACGCCTTCATAACTAATTGATAAGACTGCTGTGATTCTTTACTCTCTGAGATCAGACAAAAAAAGCTCGCTCTGGTGTTTATTCGAGGTTACTTTCAGAATTTCTATCAAGGTATTGCTGATTACTGCCCTAGGAAGCTATTTATCAGATCATTTATTGACTTTTGCTTGACTGACACATAAAGGTGAGAGAGCTTTTGCATTTATCGCTCCTAGATTTCGAAATAAGCGGCTAAAAGGAAATTGTAAATTCACATTTTTCAACTCACTTTGAACAAACCCGTTTTTTAAGACGTTGCTTTTCTGTGATTTTGTTTCGTGACATTTTTTTTTTTGCTCATTTGAGCTTAAAGTCCACCTGTTCTTTCCTCGCTCTGACTAGTCAAAATGTCTGCCTTGAAGAAGCTCTACAAAGACGGCAAATCACAGCACAGAGGAGAAACTGTTCCAGACAAACACCCTGTTTCATGCTGTCTGTTTACTGAAGACTGCAGTGCGCTGCTGTTTCAAGAGTCTTTTTAGCCTCTTGTGAAAATTAAAATATATATTTATGCTTTGGTTTTGAAAATACTGGTCGTGTGTTTTCAGAAGGAATAAAAAGGGTTTGAGCTGTCAGGTACAGACAGAGTGAGGAAGTCAGAAACTACCGAAATGCACAGCATCAGCCTGATAATAGCCTTCAAATGGGCCTCAGGCACGACAATTGATCACTTATCCCAACAGGATAGAAAAGGACAGAAAAAACAAGCCTGTCCGACTTCTTTCTACATTCTTCTGCATCGTATGACGGTTTCCACATGTTGGAAGAGCGGTGCAAAGCAAACGACCAGCTAAAGGACAGACCAGCCATACTGTTGTCTTGGTCCCACAGATGCATCCTCATGACATTTTGCAGGTTGTGAAAGATGGCAAGCTGTTATATTGTTGTATTATTGTGTAGTCTGTCATGTCTCTGAGCCCATTCATGGCAAGAATTTATGACTGTTTGACTCAAATCTGACAAAGTAAACGACCTCACAGGTCACAGTGATGCATTGTTTGTCCAAAGGAGCTGTTACCGTCATTTTCAGGCTATTGAGCGAATATAAGCCACACCCACTAACTTTAAAAAGGAAAAAAAAAATGTGTACATATACAGGCTGTACTTGTGCATAAGCTACAGGTGTCCACGTTGTAACATAAGATATTTACACAGAAAGATTTCTTTAACTTTTAATTAAATACGTACCGCAAATGCTTTTTTCCCGAACAGCGTCTGTAACACGGCAAGTCATCGATCGCTATCTTCATCTTCCTCCTGCGCATTAAAACCACTAAAGTCGGCTTCGTCAGTGTCGGAATTGAACAGCCTCAGAATTACTTCCTCTGTCTCTCTTTTGTTGTCGCTCTCAACGTCACTTTGGTCTTGAGACAAATTCGTAAAAATCACAAAAATCCATAAATTAGCTGCATCATTGTTCAAAGCGTGTAAAAAAAAGTAGCGGCTTTTAGTCCAGATATTACTGTAGGTCTTTGCAGTTTGACTTTTGTAGCATAAAAATAGTAAAATATATAAAAATATCAGTGTAAATAAGTATTGCTAGTTTTACAATAGGACCAGTAGTGCTGTGAAAGTTACCCTGTGAAGAATTTTAAATATGAAACAACACTCCTACGACTTCCTACTGCACTGACTTCACTTCACAGATTTATTAAACCCCTGGTGCTCGTTTTTGTAATACCTCTGGCTGATGTCGTGGAACTGTCCCCTTTCATTACTGTCTCTGTGTGTTCAGATGGACCAGTGGGTGACCCAGGGAGGCACTGACCCCTTGCCGCTGGAGGAGGAGCACTGCTCTGTGGTGGAGGTTACCGAGGAGGACATCCAGAACTCGGTGAAGTTTGTTCCCAGCCTCTCTGCAGTGGTGAGAAACACAGAGGGTCTTCCATTCATCAGACACTTTTGTGCCAAATTGGTGCATTCAGCAGAGCAGCTGCTTCTTTACAATGGCAGCTATGACCGGGACAACACATGAGGGAGTCTTGTTCACCTTTATAGAGAGGACAAGGTTGCCTTTATCGTTGCTCAGCCTTGAAATTAAAAAAATAAAAGCTCCTCAGTGGCCCCAGTTTGAATAGTGTGTTTTCCTGTGCCTTGAAAGCATTTCGTTTGGTTTAGCACAGTCAAACTGAGCTGCAGTCTGTAAAACTAGAGTCCAAAAATGTCTTGATGTTGGATTCATTTGGAAACAACATCACATAATGGCATTGCTATGCACGAGATGGAGATGTTGGAGATGTATTTTCTTTAAAACTACATTAAAAAGAAAAGCACCAAGATTAGAATAAGCACACGATGCAGACGACTTTACAGATTAGTAAGAATGATGGCTTACACATGTACCTTCAACCAGTAAAATTACATTTCAGAGCTTTATTTTTGTGCAGCGCTTGTATTTTTGAGGGTTTTTCTTTACTCCATGCCTCATGTTGAAAGATGGGTAGGTCGGCACAGCTTGGCTCCAGCTACCCAACAGGAAAAATGGCAGCTACTAGCAGTAATAACACAAACTGTGAACACCGTGATGTCACCCATTTGTGTGTGACATGCTGTTATAGAGCCTTGAGTTTGTAATTTAGACATCTTTGGTCTTTGAAATGAGCGAGGTGTGTATCCGTCTGAGAACTCCAGAACACTGTGCGAGTGACCTACAACATACCGTGTTTCATCTGTTTTAATCTAAACGGGACCGTGATTCACCCAAATGAACATAATCCCTTGATGGAGGAGCCTCGAAAACTGGTGTAATTAAGTTCATGAACTCATTAGGAGAGTGTTTACTGTGGTAATAAATCAGGTGTGAAGGAGAGTCGTTTTTCTAATAGACTTCTAAACAATCGCACTTCTGTTTGCTACCAGAGGAGTCGCCCTCTGCTGGCTGTTAGAGAGATTGCAGGCTTTTCCGCGCTCTTCACTTTCACAGACCTGCAGGCTACGTCCATCTTTTAAATACAGTCTATGGACAAGAGAAAATTAGTTCTTCAGATGGGAATAGTAAGAAATTAATTGCAAACCATCAAGTGGCAGAAGAGATTGGAGGTACTGATTTCTTTTACACACGATTAAGGTTAAAAAAAATAAAATAAAACAAGAAGTAATGCTACCATGTGTGACAAAGCTGTTGTTTGTCTTTTGTACAGGTTAGGAGCACATTATCGTCCTCCGTGTGGATATCAGCATCGTTCATTAATGAACTTCCTGCTGTTTAGCACCAAAATACTGAATACAGTGCAATAGATAAATATCAGTGTCCGTGCCGTTAAATGACGTAATCACAGGCTGCATATAGATGGACAAATCCTCCATGACATCACCTATAGACTTCCTGAAGAGTGCTTTTGAGGTTCTATGTGATGGCTCCAGCAGCCACTTCTCACTCAGAGCCTAACCTTAAGCATTAATAAAATTTAAATGGGTGAGTTGTTTAGAAGTTCACAACCGTACAGTTATAGTGAACAGGGACATTATCAATAGAAACCTGAATTATTTCATGTATCTGGTTGTAAACATGTTTTTTTTTGCTTTGAAGTTGGACATGTTACCATGGAGCTCTAAAGGGATTGACTTGCTTTTGTAACCAGCCTCAAGTGGACAATCAAGGAACTGCAGGTTTTTTTTAGCGCCTTTGCACAGACTTCATTTTTGGTCCCAGATGTTGCAAGAAAAGACTTTGCCTGTTTTTTTTTTCTCCCAAATGTTTTAAGTTTTAAAACTTGATGCAGTTTTCATTCAAAACCATCAACCTGCACTCTATCAGTGATAAACAGAGCAGACAGAGAGGTCACATTTGAGATGTGTGCATTAATCTGTGATGAACTCGTGTCTAGCCCTGACGTGCACATCTTTCGCTGACGTCACTGGGAAGCCCGTCTGCCTGCTGCACAGAACCTCCAGCTCCAAAACAAAAACCTTTTCACATCTTTGCAACCGTCCTGTGTTTATGAATGTTTCAGATCTTGGTGAAAGCCATGCTGAGGAAACGCTCCTTCAGTAACCCCTTTGAGTGTCCGAGCAGGCGGGAGGAGAGGTCCATGTCTGCACCCAGCAGCCTGCTCATGTAAGCACACAGCCCACCTTCCTGACATCATAACCAGCTCTCCCTTTCACATGTAATACTTGCATATCTCACCCATGAAGGTACAACCACACAAACTCAGTCTTGTTACCGGTAGTGCTTAAGATTCTGATACAGATTGGTACTTCACACCTGTCTCCTCTTTCTGCTATATCAGGTTAACTAGCAGTCATTCTGCAGCAGCAGCTGCTGCTTTGTGTTGCCATAGCACCATAATTCATTCTTTCATTGTATGCAGTGGAGCTTACAGCATTTATAAGTGTTTCTTTGTGTGTTGCTTTTAGCTTTCAAGGTAGAAAGATTCAGAGTGACTCAGAGTGATATAGACCCACTGGTGCTTCAGGCTGACCTTGGATTCACTCCTGTATGGATTGCAAGCATCAAAGGGGGGAACAGCCAATATGTACATACGAGGTGTGTCAGAGAAGCTCCAGGACTGGTGACGCAAAAGATATGTTTCAAACCCAAAGTACGAGTTTTCCCCTTTAGAAGATCAACCAGCACGTCTACAAAGAGATCCTACAGCGTTTGCTTTGTTCAGAGAAGAGGCGAGAGTTGTGTCAGGACAAGTGGTGGCTGCTTCACCATGACAACACGCCTGCTCACAACGCCCTAAGCATCCCACAGTTCCCGGCTGAGAAGAACATCTCCGTGCTGGAGCAACCTCCCTGCTCACCCCACCTGGATTGTTTCCTCTTCCCCAAGCTCAAGGAGGTCATCAAGGGGACCAGTTTAGAAGACGTGGACGACATCAAGATGGCTGTGATGATGGAAGAATCCTTCCAGGAGAAGGCTGGGAAAGAGCATTAGACTCCAGGGGGATTACTTCAAAGGGGAAAACTCGGAGTTTGTAGTTTGGGTTTGCAATATATCCTTTGTGACACCAGTCCTGAAACTTTTCTGACATGCCTCACATACAGCCGAGGGGCAATTGGAGCCTCTATAGCTGTACTGCAAGCACCCTCGGTACAATATTCTGTTATGTGTCCAGCAGACTGAGTTATGAAGATGGACCGCTGTTGTTCTATATGAGGAGCAGACTCTTATCTCCCATTGCGAGGGGTTTATTAGATGATCTCTCCTCTATCTAGGCTGAGGTTTCCCCTGTTACGCTCCAAGCTGTCAGAGAGATGCTATCTAAGGTGAAGGTGTTTTCAGAGGACATGTGAGGAATTTGGAATAATACTGCCCCCTGCTGGAAGAGGGGGGAAAACAAACAAGGTCTTGTGTGACCATCATGAAGCCATGAACTAGAATGTGCAGGTACCATCTGAGGACCGACATTATTGATGTACAGCCTCGAGACCCAAAACCCAACTAAAGCTTAAGTCTTTCAATTTCTCAGAATGGCAGGTGGAACAAATGAATGTCTGAAGAATACAGAACAATTTCCTCCCCATCAAAGTGAAAGAGAAACAACAGCTGCAGGCAAGGAAGCAGCTGGATTTATGGGCGATGCAGTTGCACGTTGTACGACTGTTTCTACCCGTCGTGATATTATTTTAATATTATTTACACAATTATTTTTAAAAACTGGTGACCAGCAGATATTTTGTGTAACATTCTGACTGAACTCATGGGAGACGTGAGGCCTCTGGTGCTAATCCTCCTCCTCCTCCGTTGTGCTGCTCTGTTCGATAAAGCCCTGCTGATGTTGCAAAGCTGTTTACATGGGGGTCGGGCGACGTAGCTTAAATCGCGCTAAATTGTCTATTTTCAGTCGATTGATGATTATTGATCATTTTTGTGAACCTAAAGGGGAAGTAAGTTGAATTTCACCACTTCACTTCAACCACTTTATTTACAGTCGCCCACAAATGTATTCCTACCGCCCCATTAAAGAAGGAAAACTGACAAAAGTAATAATCAGTCTCAGTCAGACTTCTGCACCTGTTGACAGGTATTCTGATTTCACTGCTCATCAGCAAAGTGTTCTAATTTGTCCAGGACAATTTTTATTTATTATTTTTTTAAATTATTCTTTTCAACCACAATTCAAAAGCAACATCTTATTTCACTAAATTATAATTTAGCAAATTTTTATTTATTATTACTTTTTTAAGTTTGTAGTTATTTGAGTGACTATTGTGAGTTTTGCCTTTTCTTTAATGGAAGGCTATGAAGACTGTATCAAGGTACACCAGGAATAATCCTAATGTTAACACAACAATGAAAAACACACAAATAAATACATTTACATACAAATACACAAAAAAAAATCAGGATGAAAGAATGATCTCACTTTGATAAACATTAAATCATTCAGAACTTTAAACCCTGAGGCTCATGGAGCTGCTGCGCTCAGGTTAAGGTTCCAACTGGACCCGGCATCACTAGACATCGGCCTCCAGGTGCAACATCAGGCCCGTCAGTTGGAGCCATGCATAGGTGGAGGCCACAGTGTCGTGGGTGTTTATAGATCGCAAACACCACCGTCAGTCCTCACCAACCGCAGCCTGAAAGTTCAATTTGGACCAATGTTTTCAAAGTGGCCATCCACAGTTTGTAATGCGGGTTTGGTGAAGATATAAGAGATGCAAGAACAAAGGAACTCCTTCTTATTGTCTGTCAGTTATTTAAAACAGACTCGCTGTACAACTTCATCACCTGTCAGATCGTTCCAACACCTACAAACACGCGGCGTTCGCACATCACGCCACTTCATAACAGACTTATTAAAAACCTGCCTTTTCTCACGCTGAGCTTCCTCTCTCCTCCCTCCCTGACACCTCAAGGTGAGCCTCTGTGATGGTGGATTTCTGGGTCACGGGAGGAGAGAGGACGCATACGTTAGCATATTAAAAAGCACCTTTTGTGTCAAAAAACAAACAGGTACAAATATAAAATAGGAAGTAGTTGACATCACTGTGACATCACCGGGGTTGGAGGTCGGAGCCACAGAGCGCAACTTTTAAAAAATAGTTACAATTTCGTCCCACAATATTCAGTTCACATTGATATGATGTCAGAATTGCTACTGAAATGTAAAAGATCTCCTCCAGGCACCGTCACGTTGAGGAGGCGGCTCATCTCCACCAGCCAGCATGTCTTTGCCCTCTCACCTGTGACTTCTCCATCTTTTCTCCCACTTTTGCTGCAGGGACTCGTGGCCCTTCCGGCCCACTTTTAAACTTCACCCCTCACTCAGGTAACACTTTGTGCAAAAAGCAGTCCGGCACGCTGTCTGTCCCGCATCTACCAGCCGCTCATCATCGTAGACCCCCTCAGCTCTCGCTTGTCCCCATCATGACGAGTGATGGGGGAGCCCTTTTCCCCCAGCTGTCATCTCAGAGATCTTTATTCTCATGTCCCTGCTGCTGTCATTTGAACGCTGTGTTACATCGATTAAGCATTCTGTGTGTTTTCCGCATTCATCTTGTAACAAAAAAAAAGAGGGAGAAGAGCTTCTCTGGTTGCCATGCTGCATTTGGAGAAAGAAAAGCTTAATCGCGTGCCCATTTAGATCTCTGCCCTCACTCTTTAAATGACCAAAGAGCTGCAGATGTTGACTTCTTTCTCCTCTACTGTGTCTTCTTTGTTTGTTCCTTCAGAAAGGGCAGCACAGGAGACGGGCCCAGAGAAGGAGAGCTGGAGGACCTGCATGAAGACGAGCCCTCCTCCTGAGTCCTGGCGACGCTCCCGTGAACAGAGCTTTGTCTTAAACACCATCTGCTTTACATCCCTTCGCCTGAACCGCAGCGCGCTCACGCCTTCTTCCAAGCATTTCTTACACATTAGTGACGCCGTAGGAACGTATCAGTCTGTACACGTGAGATTTAAAAGCTTTTAAATCGGACATATTGCTTGTGTTAACGTTCAGACTTGCTTTTTTTCCCCCTTTTTGCTTCCGGTTAGAAAAACCCGCTCTTACCCCCTTTGTTCCTGCTCCACCGCTGGAGCTTGATTGTCTTAACCGCTCAACCACTGACTGGCATCAGTAGACCAACGAGAGGAGCTCTTCCAATCCTCTGGATCACTGTTTGCGGGAAAAGACGAGTTTGTCAGCAGGTTTTACACTGATGTTTTTTTTTTTTTTTTAACTCTTCATGCATGGTGAATAATTAGAGCTCGTCATCAGACTGTCTGCAGCCACCGGTCGTCATCACGAGGAGAAAAGACTCCAGCATGTAAATGACACTGCATTGAGGGCTTTTATTTCCTGATCAGTCGTTTTAAGATTGTACATAGACGTCTTGAGGTATGTGTCCCGTGTTCATGTCACACCCCTTATCTCTCGTATCCGTGCCATTGGTCTCTTTTATTTTGGTGGTAAAGGTCCTTCCTGTGCTGCGTTCACAGACCTGAGGCTGAGAGGCTTTCAAATTGACGTCTTCTCCGTCGCGTGATGTGTAATTATGTTTTGTGTGAGGGGTCATTTCACGCTTCTTCTGTTCCGTGTTGTTCGTCTGATGATTTCCTCTCTCTAACGCCGTTGGGTTTGATGTGACGCTATTGTGACAGGAATGGGAACATTTTGAAGTGCGTCTTGTTTGGACGGCGAGTCTGAACAGATGGGAGAAAGTAACGCAATTGCCTATACTGTGTGTAAATCCAATTTAAAACATATTATTAGACGGCGTTCTCGGAGTGGGTTTTATGGCACAAACAATGTCAGCATTCAGATTACACGTCGGTGAGTTCCCTCTCGGAAGAAATTGGATGAACTGAAGGTTATCGAACGTAAAGGGAGCGTGCACAAATAATTCAGAGGGAAAGCTGTGCAAGTGACTTTTTTTTTACACAGAAGGCTCTTTTTATTTTTTAACGCCCAACATTTTTATGTCAGTAATCTCTTGTGGGATTAATTTAAAAAAAAAACAAAAAAAACAAGGGAATCAGGTCACAGTCGGTGGCTCTGCTGTGCACAGTGAGTCATAGAAGTGCACGATGCCAAATGAGACCTTATCTTTTAGTTAAAAGGAGCCTGATGTCGCAATTATGAGAAAACTAGCTCATAATTACAAGATAACGTACAGTAGACTGATGGCGCAGGAACACGACAGAATCTTCAGGTTTTCAGATCCCTTCAGCGTCGGTGTGATTAATCCAGTGATGGTCGGGTCAAAGCAGAAACAGATTCAGTGGACTTAACTCTCTAAATGTGAACAAATGTAAGCTAAAAAAAACAGAGCTTATGTTGCAGCCCAACGTTAGTGCATCGTTATAGCTGCTGCTTCTAATAATAGATTTCATTTGTTCACACGGGTGAAGCCTTTACATGTGACGTTTTTTAGAATACTTTTCATTATGAAAGAAGAACTTAATTACAAGATACGTATGTCTATACATATATAGCTGACCTGCATTATAATCAGTTTCACCCTTTTTCTGTCTTTACCACGAAAGCAGAATCTGATAATTCCACCTCAGGTTTGCAGTATGATTGCTATTGTAATAAAAAAAAACAAAAGTATCCATAAATACTAGTGACGCACGATATTAACATTTCTGGCCGATACCGATATCCGATATTTAGATTTCTGATATCACGATAACCGATAAAACCGATGTCGATATTCGATTTTTGTTCACACCGATAAATAAGTATAAGTAAGCACTGTGAGAAAACTATTCAAAAGAAGCCCATTAGACCACATAGTCTTCTTCATTACGTAATAAAAGTAAAACATATTTAAACTCGGGGTGGGACTTTAACACGTTAATTAATTAATTACAGCAAAAATAATGCGTTAAAAAAATTATCGCATTTAATCGCAGTTTACATCCAGACAACACGGAGCGTTTGTCAGCTCCTGATTTCATGATCCACCGATCACATGATGCACAAGATGCTACGCTAAACAGCAAACATGGAGGAGTCCGATTAGAGTGCATTGCTTCGACTGATGGAGGGAAAGTTTCATTTTAAAAAACTGCCTGATGGAAGCCTTGACAAGAGCGTGGTTTTGTGCAACTTGCACAAAAAAGAATTTACATCCCACCGAAACACATCGAGCTGACAGCACCACCTGAAGCATGTTGCAGAAACCGCCGGAGCTGTTAGCGCTAGCAGTCCTGGTCCGAGTACAAGCAAGCGGTGTCGGCACCACGCTGGACCACATGACTGGATTCAGAGCTAAATATTGTTATGCCATGAATTGAGATTAATTATTTCCAAAGCCTCTAATTAATTTGAATTCTTTTTTAATCAAATCCCACCCCTAATTTAAACATATTTACACATATTTAACATTCAAGTCCAGGACTATTTAAGTAAAAAAAAAAAAAAAGGGAAACAGCAGTAATATCAAATGTAGATACAAAGGCGCTAATGTTAGACAATCATCAGATAAATTTGTTCATCTGACCGATACCGATATATCGTAAAAACCCACTAATATCGGCCGATACCGATGTGGTCGCCGATTTATCCCCAATAAATATATCAGACTGATTAAATTATCTCAGATTCTAAGACTTTGCCTTTCTTTTAGTCATTCATGTTTGAATGAGAACCTAGCAAGCTGTAGGGTGCATGTTTTTTGAGGAGTCGAGGTTAGAGCTCAAAAAAGATTCATGCAATTTAAAAAAGTTAAATATAAAACGTACCCTCTCCTACAAATAGCTTCACTGGTTTCCACATGGACCTAGTTGGTCCTACGCTAAAGTTAAAAGGCATTCTAATCCTGTGGCATCACAAATGTTGGCATGTTGGATAAATGACAGAGAAGTGCACATATTTTTATCTGTTGTTTAACTTTTAAAAAAAAAAAAAAAGCCAGCTCTGTTATGTGATCTCTGCTGACTCCAGTAAGTGAGAACACTTCTTCCTGAGCCACAGCTTGGCCTCAGATAGACGTGCATGCAGCTCCTCTGCTGGCACGGCGCCCCTGTGAAAGAAAGACATGTTGGCTGGCAGAGGGCTGTGCTCCCAATCAATGCCATGATTAGGCTCCGGCTGCCAACAACAACAACAACAACAACAACAACAACACTTCCCCGCCCACTTCAGCGCCGTCCCCAAAGTGGCTGATTAGAAACGGAGAGTGCTGCGCTTTGCATCTCCTCTGGTAGCGCTGCCCTCGGTGTCCTGTGCAGAGGACAGTGAAGGAGGAAGCTCTGCAAGAATCATAGATGGTGTTGACATGAGAGAGATTTATATTATCATGGGGAGAATTTAAAGCTTTGTTGTTTTTACATTAATGTGAATGGAAGTGAACACTGATGGGAGTTCTGTGTCTGTCTGCAGAGTGGCCTTCCTTCAACGAGGGCCTGTTTGAACCAAAAAGTGTGACATGGTGTGTTATATCTGCTGTATTTATTTGCTTCAAAGCTCTTCTTATGGGTGTTTTATTTTGTAAATTCTACCATTTATGTGTCAGAGGTGCAATATCATCGTCGTCGTCGTCTTCGTCCTCGCCGGCTCGTTCCTCGGACCACTCAGGCCGCTCCTCCTTTAATGTTTTAGTTGTTGAGAGTTAAACACTGCTTACGTTTAAATATTTGCACTTTTTTCCACGTACATATTAAAGCTATTGTGATGACGCTGAACACTACTTAACGATGTACAGTTTATGATAAAGAGGAAACGCCGCGTGGTTTTACCTGTAACAGACCACATTTACTGTGCTTTTTCTTTGCTATCAATCTGCATGTCACAGCTACTCGAGACTTTTTCTAAATATCTTCTCCTGTCCGTGTTAAAGAGGCTGTAACAAGCTGCGAG